CAATTAAACTAAAACAACCTCAGATGACCGTCAATGAGTTCCACTCCCAAAGTTGCATTACAGAGGATTGTGTTTTGGGCTCCACACTGACTGGATCCTGTTTTTCAGGCCTGTGTGTGTGAGAAGCCTTGCTCAAGGGCACCTTGGCACCCTGGCACCTCTCCAGCTACCAGACCAGCTTCCATATTATAGTCTGTATCGGGACTTGTACCAGCGACCCTCTGGTTCCCAACCCAAGTCCCTACGGACTCAGCTACTACCGCCCCTAAAATTATGAACATTATTAACGTTAGTCAAGTAAATTCCTTAAATTCCAGTCCTCGTTTCATTCTGGTCAGATTTAGAGCATCCCCCTGCAACTTCCAAAAGGCTTAAGAGCATAAGAAGTAAACGATTCAGAGTTTTCCAATGAAAACAGTGAACAGTGAAACAGAATTATGCACATGCAAACTACCAATGCTGTCTGAAAAAAATAATCTATGATTGTTTTTTCATTATGATGTGTTTCCACAATTTAGTAAAAAAAATGATTGCTACAAGTTATTATCTTGAACTTTTCTCAATGGAAAACTAAGAACTGTGATTCTAACAAATGAAGTTGAGTCAGGTTGAGACGAGTGGGGGGCTTTCCATGCAGTGGAATTAAAGCATATGGTTGCATATGTTAGCTAACTAGTGTCAACTGTGGAAGGTATGTGTAACATTTCAGGAACTTTTTGACTCTCCAGGATTCACACACAGTACTGTTATGCTTTATTATTAACCTTTTAACTTTTTTTGTTGGAAGAGGCCTGTTAAGTAACAGGTATAGTTTCTCCTGAACTTTTTCTGTAGTAGCCATGTGTGCACCCTTACTTCTGGTGTGTGTTTTCCCCTGTGGGAGTTGTATGTATTGGAAAAGTTGCTGCAGTCTAGGCCCTTTTGTTATATGTACACATAATGCTGAGACCAATGACTTCGTCTGAAATTTATTGGCCAGATTGAAACACGGCTTCCAATTCAATTTGAAATCATATTTCAAAGCATGAAGGTTGATTGTGCCACAGACTTCTTAACAGGAGTCTGATTGTAACCTGGAACTGTCTTTGTGACTTCCTGTAGAAAATGTTTTTTTCACTTCAAGTTTAAAGTTCAAGGGCTTTTTCTGAATAAGAAGAAAGGATTTCAAATGTGCTGTTTGAGGTGGGACAATGCAATAGTCCCTGCAAAGCATTTGCACATTATAACAGGATGGTGCAATGTGGTATTTTTAAAGCCTTGAAGCTGTAGGTTATGACCCCACATATAATAAGACAGGCTGCACGACTGACCTTGTGCTCAGTGATTCACAAATGTCTGGTTATGTGTGCCAGGTGCAGAAAATGTGATGGAAAATAAAGGCATTCCCCTTTCTAAAGAATGATGGAATGAGGCCCTACGATATCTTCAAGATATTACAGAAAAAAAAAAGTAATGAGTAATAAGTCATTATTAACTTTACAGGTTGACATTGTGGATAACTCTGCATTTGCAGATTTAGAGCAGACACTCAAACCTTTTCCTGTCATTTTGTTTGGACCTTTTTAATAGCTTAATTTTGAAGCTGTGTTATTGAAAAGGAGAGTAAAATTAAAAAATTCACATATTGTTGTTACGGTATGTGTACTTGTCCCAAACTCTTTGTTACAGGATAATTAGTCTATCATACCTCTTCAGTCTTGCATACCCGATGACACAAATAACAACTTGGAAACATGTTCATATTTACTCCTCTCACACTTGGAATGGAAATGCTGTGGATTGAGTTTATCCAGAAAGTTAGGCATTCCAGCAGGTTTAGCACAGATGCCATGTTAGCCTACCTCATGTAGCGTTGTCTCCTTGGAGTAGCAAACACAAAAAAATATACCAGAGCAAGAGGATTATCCTGTGGCATTTATTGCCATGATTGCCTGAATCAGGACATTGTCCGAATTAAGTTGTCACTCATATGTTGTTTTGTAGAAACAGTGAAAAATTGACAGAAAGTGCAAGTCCTTCTCTCCACGGTACTCTGGGTGCCTGTAACTGTGCCACATTTAAACTGGCAAAGCAAAAGTAATTTTTTGTCTATCCTGCAGATTTTTGACCAGAAACTGTCAAAGAAACGGTTTTTACCTCAAATGTACCCTCACATGTGGGTTTGTGTAAGTTTGTTCTTGCCTTAAACAGTACCTAAACATTTGATGATATCAGGTCATAGTACAGTGGAGTGTTAGGATTTCTATATTATTTAGCTATAATTGACATATCATTATAATATTTAATTTCAATATTGTATTATTATTTTCCTTTAAAAAGTTGTTAATACCTGCAGGCTTGAAGCTGTTTAAATCTTCTTTGAATTTTTTTGCTCTCCTTTTCGCTCTGTATTGGTCTCCATCACCCCCCGACATTAAACTCTGTCCTGCTCTAAGCTCTGGGTCCTTTCTTGTGGGACATTTTCAGTTGAATATTTTTGCTTAAAACTAGGTTGATGAGAGCTGTGAGAGTCAGCCGAAACAGTAAAGCTCAGGACTTTTACCAATGAGGACATCCGTCCAATGTCAATATGAAAATACTGCAAATGCAACTCTTTTGGTTTCAAATAGACTAGAGACAAGGCTAAATTACAATTGCTTTTCTAATTCTATTTACATGTACTAATAACCGGCTCCCACATTTAATAATATTAAAAGATATTTAAGGATGTACTTGGAGTTTGTATTAGTTTTGTGCGGCCATTGAAAGCTATGGTAAAATTGTAAAAGCCACATGAAATGTCTTGGTATTACCGTTATGTGCAAATATAATACGACAGCAAGGGCGCTGCAGTTGTAATTAAACATTGTAGTATTTCAACACATTTGGAAATTATGTTTGTTTTTTTTCCAGGGCCTTATGCTAAGTGTTTTACAGAATACACAAGTGGAACCCTTGCTATTGAGGGGTTTCCGCTCCCCTCGCTCCTTTGATTACTTAATGGGATTAATTATTCTATGAGGAAGCAGAGTGACTAAGCTGTGCAGGTTTTTTTTTTTACCGACATGGGATGCCTAGAGGGGAATCCTGCAGATTCGTAGCACTGCGGAATTGTAAGTTGCCGGATCACTGTGCTTCTGTAGCAGAGGGTAACTTCTTCACTGGGACTTGTTCGCACATTAATCCCCAGATCGACTGTATGGCACAAAAAGGACAAGGCGGCAAACTCACCAAAAAAACAAGACAGGATGTAGCCTTTCTTTCACCTTCTAAGACCTGAGCTTAAAGTGCGGACCATGTGATGGGAGAAAATGTGTTGGTGGTCTGCAGCTATGACAGCCCTGCACGTCCATACACACTCTCCCCCCAAAACCCCTCACTTACAAAAACCTCCCTGACCTTTCTTCTAATTGGACTTAGGGTAAAGGGAGAGAATGGGTGGGGGTGGCTGTGGGGGATAGAGAGGGGGCAGGAGCCGTAAATGTGACCTTTTTTTTTTTTTTCTCTGCGGAGATTCCCAAGACACAGTGGGAAGGTTTGGTTTCTTTGGATCTGTCAACAAAAAAGCCTCAGTTTTTCTCTGTCACTGGACACTTCCTGCCTTAAGACTGATTACTAAAAAAAAGATGCAAAACTAAACCTAGAACAAACCCCAAGATTATCAGAATATCACAAAACAGCTTCATTTTAGGGTATTGTCTTTCAAACTATTCAGTACTGCCTACCAGAATATTTCTTTTCTTAAGGATTTTATGGCAGCAGTTTGCCACAGGCTCCTCCTACACCTCTGCATCCATTCTCAGCAACAGCAATGTTGTAATGTAGATGGTCAAAAAAGAGCTAATTCTGCATTTTGGCCCACTTTGGATACTATTGGGTAGTTATATCTTTAACGATACATCATGTTTTATTAGCTGATCAAATGTTTTATGTATAAAATTTTAATTTGCAAAATGAAGTATAGTTTTCACATAATTGTAATGAATTAAAAGCACAATATTTGCCTCTGAAATTGGAGTGAAGTACGGTAAATTGAATGTGAAGTAGCTCAAAATTATGCTTGACTATAGCACTTCCAACACAGGCGACAGCAGATACACACTGCCATTCACTATGGTACGCTATTACACCAACGCTTCTGCTCCATAGCCTCAACTACTGATGAGGACTACAGTCTCTCTTATCTTTTATCACTCAATGATTAAATGACTTTATATTCTGGGTTTTAGTGAGTTGTTCTCAGATAAAATGTCTCTCAAGAGTGTCTTTTTTTATGGCCCATAGGAGGCCTAACAAGGGAGGCTGTCCTGCTGTAATCCTCGGCCACAGCGCACCAGGCTAAACCGGCAACTTTCAGTTCAACAGAGACTTTTCTGGTACAACCTCTCAGCTCAGTCAAAAAAAAATCATTAGACGGGGGATTTTGGAGAGTATATTGAATAAAACTTTGAGAAGAATCAGGGGTATAACAATGGTGAATGTCTCCTTGAACCATAACTATGTGCAGCTTTACAATTTCAGGAAAACTAGAATTGAGTCTAGAGTTGGTTAGTAGTTGAAATGATTAATCCTTTACCAGCAAACCAGCAGTGAATTATTTTCATATTTGATTACGCCTTTAGCTACATGCTGTCTGTGTTGGCATGTGCTGTTTCTGTTTTGAAAGCTCCTAAATTCAATAGATTTGTGCTTTTGAACTGTTAGAAAAAATGTTTTTACAGGTAAGTAGTTGCTGTCTAAATTATATCTATTTGAAAATGTCCATTGATCACAATATCATGCTTCTTAGCACTCCTATTGTATGATCCATTTTGAAAGCACTTATCCAAGTTTGTAATGATATCTTGCGTGTTCCCAGAAAACTCCTACTTTTTGTTCTGTATCATAGATTGAAAGGAATAACTTCAAAGTGTTTCACCAGAATGATAAGAACTTCAACCAGCTTACATATCAGACCGTGATGTATGAGGTATAACAGTCATGAAATTTATCACAACTTGATTTATAGCAACATGTATGAAAGGAAATGAAAAACACACTTGTCTTTGTCTGTAGCCATATACATCATATATATGCACATTTGTACCACACGTTTCACAAATTTCAAGATATTTCACAACAACAGCACCAAAGAGCTTTTGATTGATTCCTCAACCCCGCTAATACATTCATTCATTCATTATTTTCCAGATATACTAATAATCTATTAATTACATAAGTAAATAATTTACAATAAAATAACAATTTAAAGGTACATTTTTCAATTCCAGTACTTTTATACTACAATAATTCCATTCAGTCTCCACATGCATCCGTCTGCCTACATCTTTTATGAAGGTCGCCCAATTCTGATAACGTCACACAGGAGGAGAGCTTGTTTTATTGTCTTATTAACTGAAAGCCTTTTACCTTGCAGCGTCTGACAAAGAAAACAGTTTAGTAATGCTGAAAAGCTTACAAACTTCCGCCTCTTTAAGCAATTTCAGCACGGTGCTCCGACATGGAATAAAAAACTGTATACGCTAAAACTCTGAGAACTCACAGTGATATAAAAATCACAGACGATAAAAAAAAAAAAAATGTCAGGTACTACATCTTGAGGACAAAATGAATGCCACAAAGTGAAGAGTTTTGCTGCAAAATGGGAAAAAATCCCCACCGAACCATAAAGAAAACAACACTGAACAATAAAACCATCATACTGTGACAACACCTTCTGCACCTGGATTATCTTTTGGTTTGCTCCAAATGTAGTACAGATGGTTACACAAAGGAGAATCTGCAAGGGAAATAATAAGCAAATTGCATTCACACGTCATGTACTGGGTTTGGTGCTGACACGGACCTTGTAGTGACCTTTAAAACTGATGCACTTCTTTTTTTCTGCCCTAGTTCTATGTTGAGAAATCGGCCGTGCTTGTCCATTCATAATACTGCATTTTTATTTTATTTTTATATTCAGGGGGGTTTTTGCTGATTGGATCCTATGAAGTGCTGCTCAGTTGTCTGACAAAAATGTCCCGTCCTCTAAATCTACTCACTGCAGGGACAGTCATCTTATAAAAACAATCAAATCATTAAACACAATTCAGAAAGGCAACATCACTTCACACTTTCTGTCATCGATCTTATACTTCCTCCTATGTGTACTCATAGTGATAGAGCTCTTGTGGTATGAGGCGGCCATATTCTCTGAACCCCTGTGTATATTTCTTATTTGGAGGAATCCATAAGACTTAACATTTGTTTAACAGAAACCTGAAAATCTCCTCAAAATGTCTTTCTGTAAAAAAAAATCCTATATGAACATTTTGTGCAAAATCTTTTCAACCCCCACAACCAACACAACACACACAGCCAGACATACACACACACACACACACACACACCCCTGTCTTTGTTAGATGAGCTTTTGTAGGTCTTTGTTTTCTTCCTTGTACAAGGCGCCAGATGTGCAACCAGAATACATGAACTGCTACAGAACATGACACAAACATGATGACAGAGAACGGGCAGAACAAAGACAGAAAAAGCCAAGAATTTAACCAAAATATGTCTTGAAGAAACAGTTTTCCATTTATGAAAAAAAGGCATCATTCCAGAATTTTCTTGTCCATGGATTCTTTGCCATTGGTCCGCGAGTAAGGCTCGAAGGCAGAGGAGCTCAGGTAGCGGGCGGAGAGTTCCTGCAGGTTTCCAGCCAGGGAGCCTGCCATGGACAGTGGGTTGGAGGAAATGCGGGTGGCGACGCCGCTAAGTAAGGATGGCATGGGGAAACTGAAGAGGCCATGAGCCGCCGCCGTGCTCTGCAGGCCTGACACAGTCCCTGAGCTGGTTACGACTGGCAAAGGAGGGCTGCCACCTGCCGTGCCAGTGCTTCCGCTGCTGCTGCTACTGCTGCCGTTGTTGGCCATGGCCATAGAGTGAGGGCGCAGGGCAGAGCCCAGTGTGCCGCTGCCGCAGTGGGGCAGAAGGCCCGGCAGGCCTGGGGGAGTCAGCAGCCGACCCTGCTCCAGCAGTCTGAGCACGCTGCAGGTCGCTGCTGTTTCTGACACCACAGAACGCAGTTCAGAGTCCTTCCCCTGGTCTTTCTTCTGCTTAGTGCGCCGGTTCTGGAACCAGACTTTAACCTGGAAAAGAACAAAGACAAAGAGCCTTTAGAGACATGCTTCAATGTTAAGTGTAATCTCAGGTTTGTTTTTAATATTGTATTCCAATTTTTAATACTCGTAAAACCATTCCTTGTAAAAAAAAAAAAAAAAACATTTCCAAGCACTAAGACAACTGCCCTGCAATAATTCACAATCACTGACACTTGCTGTAAAAAGGCCTGTGATCATAGTGTAGAAATAATCTGATGATCTCAGTACTGTGAGATAATTGCACCATGAGCCATACAACTGTCTTCAAAGATTCTGTTGATCGCTTTTAGCCAAGACTTTTGTTCACAAATCAAAAGTAGCCCGTCAATTCCCCAGCCAATCGCTTCTTCCTCTTTAGATCTATTGTATAGAAGCAGCATATACAGCCATGCTAACGCACACACAGACACGTGGGTCAACAGGTACTGATTGTAGACTGTGATTGATCAAAAGCTGCAGTGAATTCATTCAGTCGTGGAGGGGAGGGCTCGCTGTGCTACGCAAACAGGCAGGAGGTTAATTCAATCAGAACTTACTCAAAGATCGCCTTTCATATGTAAACCACTGCGTCACTTTCTCAGCCTCTTAGTCTACAAAAGGTTCAAGCTTGAACTCAGACCCAAACAGTCGGCTCTCATTTGTCAGTTTGTCTTTGTAAACCTCAAAAGAACTGGCAATGTTCAAAACAATAAATAATATAACAGTGTCTTGTTCATTTTCTGTATTGGTTATTGATTATTTTTCAGACACAACATAAAATTGTTCAAATTCACAGATGTTCTGAGACGTACTACACAAATTCAAGATCGGAAACCCCTAAATGACACACTGACCTCAAGTTTCTTCCACCGTTCCGGCTTAATTTGATTTTCTCTTCCAACAAACTCAGAACGGCCACCATCGACTGTGATTCTGATAAACTGTACTCTAATCTGGACTATAAGATTTCTTAGCCTTAAAGATGTAGCTTTCTGAAATACTTTACTTAGACAGAAATTAAAGAAGAAATGAAACAGAATATTATATTTTGAGGTCAAAGAAAGCTACCTTAATTAAAATAAGAGAAGAGCATATTAAACGTCTCCCAAGTTTCTGAAAATTCTAAGATTTCAAAATCGCCACTTAATGTGAATGAAAGAGATTCATGAATGAAGTTGTGGAGACTATTAATACAATCAAATCACCTGTTTCATAATTGTTGCAAAATCGTCCCACAGTTAAAGGTGTATATGTACCAAGCATGTACCGTCTAGTGGTGAGAAAGTAAATGGAATCAAACCTTGTCAACAGTAGAAAGAGCACGAACCTCGTAATTATTTTCAGTGACTGATTTAGTTATCCTGACATGGGAACTGTCCTGCCACTCTTTCTCATAATCTTAATTATAATTAAGTCAAAATGGAAACCAACACTTGGATTTCTATGATGCACATAAAGCTCCCTTTAACGACACCTTACTGCTTTCAAAAGGGAGAAAAGGTGAACGTACCAATCAGCAGCAAGCCTCCAGCTCAAACCACTGCTTGTCCAATCACAGTGAAATCTTTTTTTTTTCCTTCGCTGCAGAGGGCCGTTTGACTCTTCACCACCATTTATAAATTATTTTACACCTCGTGAAAAAGCCCTGACACAAATCCAATATTACCTATTGTAACGTGGAGACTGCTGAGCACCAAACTCAGTTTACATTTTCAGCGCAAAGACAACAAAAGGTGAAACAAGAAGCTCAAACAAAGGGGATATGGTGTGTGCACACACAGCAAATGGCCTCAAGATAACAACCTGTGAGTGCCGTGGAACAAAATGTAAATTTCACCCAGATGTCATTATAAGGTGTTTCATCAGGAGAAAAAGCAGGAGACTCCTGTAGTCTTTGTTCTGTCTTACTGTAGGGAGCAAATGGTGTTTTCTATATAACCTTAATGTGAATACAGAAAATGAACTTCTTTTGAGTTCATGTGGACACAAGGAAATCAGTGATTTTCTTGATCAAATTTGAAATATTAAATAATTGATTTTTTTTTTTTCTTAAAGTCAAAGTGATGGTGTTAAAATTGACATAGCTGTTTGTTTTAGAAGCGGTGACCTTGTTTGTACATCAACAAGCAGATTGGAGTTGTTGGTTGTGGTGTCATTTTGTGAAAAAGGGTTAACCTTGAGTAGAGGTCTGAGAGAGCAGCACTGAAAGCCACAACACATTAGCACCAAAGACCAAGGCGATGGGGCCGTTAGTCCCTTTGCACATTTTCAAAATTAAATAGGTGAATAAAACACCAAAGCGTAGAAGAAGACAGCCGGGGTTCTCTTGGGTCTAAATGTCAAAGGGTGACTGGGTGACTAGTTTTTTGAATCTGGTGTCAAATACAGAGTGCAAATACAGTTCACACAGCACGGATACGGCTGACCCACTGCTGACCCCACACATATGACATGAGGAGGAAGTCCGCCCTTAATATAACGGCAGCCTTCAATTTAGCAGCCTCGGGCAATAAGGTCTAACACTCCATACGCTACAGCCACAGTACATAGGATTGATTGGGGGCGGGGGTAGGGGATAAGCACAACATTAAACATTTTTATGCAGAAACCTTAAAGTGGAATATTTAATGTAAATATAAAACCAAAGTTCACAGTTTAAATAAAGTTCACAGTTCAAAACACTCAACTAGAACACTCGTAAATGAACACACAGGTCTGTAAATAGTAACACTCAAGCACAACTACATGTTTGCATTGAATTATAATGCAATCAAATGTTTGTTTGCATTAGTGCTATGAAACAGGCCCTTACATTTTTTTTTTTAAATGATTGCACCTTTCAAATCAACACCTGCTCCGTCTGTGACCAACTCCGTTCAATATATGATTGAGGGTTGGCAGATGAAATCAATTCAAATGAATATATTAAGATGACTATATGAAGTCAAATATCAGACACAAAAAATAAATAAAAGGAAAATGATTAATTTAACACTGCAGCTTACGTCACCGGCATTTTACAGAAATGATAACAAAAGCATCCATGTTGACTTTTTCATGAACTATATCCCTCACTTTTTCACATCACATTTTAGTCAGCACATGTCTGATGCTTACACACCTGGGTTTCAGAAAGATTGAGCTGACGGGCCAGTTCTGTCCGTTCCCTCCCCACCACGTACTGACATCTCTGAAACTCCATCTCCAGCCGGTAAAGTTGCTCTGCGGTGAAGGAGGTGCGTGTTCGCTTGGGTCGATCTAGATCCAAACCCTTCGGCAGGATTATCTCTCGGATAGATCCTTTAGCATCTGCAAAAAGAATGCCTTTAAATTAGCAACAGAGCAGCAGAGGGAGCAACCAAGGAGCTGTAACGACAGATTAGTGCAATATATGTCTCTTTGTGAAAACTGTTTCTGTATAATAAAATATATTTGATTAGTATCACCTATAGGTTTCTTATTAATAGAGGTATTGAGAATGAATTTAGATGTGTTAAATTCTGATTTGATTTATTTACCTTAACCTCAACCTACATACTGAAACACAATTTGTCTGTGTTCAGATTATTGGTTACATCTACAAGCTAACAACATTAAAAATTATTAAGGGGAGAAATTATCAGTGCAGAAGAATTCTCATGAACCAAAAACTAAATATTCTTCTGATTATTTATGAGGTATTAGATTAATGGAAATATCTCTGAAATATATTTAATTGTCTTTGCAAAGTTCACAGAGATTTTAAACGTATAAATAAAGGTGCATATAGAAAGTGACACTAATAAATATTAAAAGAAAGATATCATGGTTTCATCGTGTAATAGGTGTGTGTGTTACCATAAAAGAAAAAAAAGAAAAAAAATTATGTCAAGTTTTACATTTAAAGAAAATCTCTGATAAGTAAGTGTATGCATGTTTTTAAAATCTGGTATTTTAATAATCATGGCACATAAACATAGCTTCAATTCTGCCTTCATTTAATTACGATTAATCAACAGGGGGAAAAAAATTGAATGATTAGTGTCCATATATTTCAACAGTGATTTGTATTTATATTCTAGGCACTGAGTCTGCTTCGTCTCATTAAATCTTGCAGAACTAATCCTCTGTTTTCAGTGAACATTATTTGTAGTTTGTTTTCATACACTCTTTTTGTTGGGCCAACACAGCATGAAGGAAATTCCATAAATTACTTACAAGGAAACTGACACTCAAACACACAATTTGTAGGATGATTTGTTGACAATAATATCTGTAAAAACAACCTCTCTGCACCTTTTCTATTCTCCATGAATTAATTATGTCTCTGATACTTTATCTGAATTGTTCTCAAATAAAAACAGGATAAAGCCTGTAGGCGTTTTTGTATTTTAATGAAGAACTGAACACATTTACATTTTTCCCAGGGATATTGAACATTTGAGGATAAATGTATTTGTTTCATTCAGTGTGATTAAAGTATGAAATCAGAGGAAAGATGAAGCTAGTCATGATGGTAACCAAATGCAGAACAACACAATTTAAAGTGAAAATAACTGTGGTGATTAAATTTAAAAAGCATCTTTTAAAAATACAATTATTAATTTTAATAAGACATTTTCATGATAAATAATTTAGTTCTCTGACATTTTTTGTGTTTCGGTAATTTTACTCAAACTGAAAAAGAAATACTGAAGGTTACTCAGTACTTATTTTTCAAAAGTCCCTGTAATTGTAAATAAACAAAGCTTTTATATTGATGATTTTTATTGTTAAGAAATAATCTTCAATTTACTTAAAATTTCAGTCAAAAAAGTCAAATGTAAGCCTCCCTCTAAAAAGAATAGATATTTTCAGGTCTCCTGTGATATTTTAAAGGCTTTATTTTTCAATTTTCTTCTTAAAGATGCTGTCTTATACTTCTTATTCAAGAACGTGTGTATTCTAAATATGTTTTATAAGTTTTGTGTGTTTAATCGCTATGATCTCTGAAATATGACACTGCAAGTTCACAAACAGAAAGAGTGTGAGCCCTACCTCGGACTAGTATTCTCCGACAGTAGTCCGGGTCCCCCGTGCTCCCCCTGTTTTTCTCGCAGTTGTCCACGGTCCCAGAGGGGGAGAAGGAGTCCTGCTGCTCCTTGAGGAAGCTTTTGGACAAGCTGCCCTGGGACTCCTTGTCATCTTTCGCCTTCTTTAGTCCATTCTTCAGCCCCATCGCATCCGTCTCTTGGTTGTACCTGACCTCCATGCTCAGTTTATCCTCTTGGACCTGCAGCTTGTCCGCCTCTTTTTTTCCTTTGTCAGGTGACAAAAAAGAGATTACGCAGAAGACGGCGCACCAGATGGTCTGGACAGTGTGGGTTTTAGTTTCAAAACAGTACCTTTCAGCAAGGCAGAGTCAGCTATCTAATGTTTGCTGAAATAGTTCCGTCGCTCAACCAAGGAGCCCTATTATCACTGACCAAACTCCGTTGCCCAATGATCATGGACTTCTCAATGAAACTCAACAGTAATTCAGTGCCCCCCCTTTCCTCGTTACATAGACACCAGGCTGATAGATGATCTCCAAATAATCAGAGGCATGGATGCACTCGCTGTTTCAATTGATTACGGTAGTTTTGCTGCCTCCACATTTGCGTAACCTCATGAATACACTAAATTGTTTGGGGAAATAGATCAGGTGTTGATAGAGGGTTTTGCTCGTCCCGTCCCCCCCAGTTTGCCTGCTCTCAGCCCAGAGAATCAAGACAAATGATTGGTCTTGTCTTGCAACCAACCCTCCCTGAACCCCACATGAACGCACACAATCACGGGGGTACGACTCCTCCAGACCTGAAAAAAGTTCCCGGTTGCTTCATTCTTCTGTCCACAGAACACGGCCGAAGTTTTTTTTCCCCCCGACTTTTCACTGCGAACCTGATTGCCGCAGCATGTCCACGAACTTTGATCCCGTTTTCTCTTTGGCTCCCGCTCCCAAATCAATGGTATTCTGCAATGTGCGGATCTCGCCACTACGCTATTGTAGCCAAGAGACACAGGGGGAGAGCCAGAGAGAGAGAGGGGGTGGGGGGGGGAGAGAGAGAGAGAGAGAGAGAGAGAGAGACACACACAAGTGAAAAGAAGAATGCACTAATCCAAATCTAAACAAAATTTACGAAGGCATTGGACCAGATGGTTTGAGCACGGGAACAAGCGACATGCTCAGCTCCAATCACGGCAACTGTGTTAAAGATCCCCTCGTCGTCCTGTGTATATTCAGAGTGCCACGGAACCCTGCAAGGTTCTTGCCGCTAACCATATTTCAGCATTTAAATGACAGCACCCCAGAAGCCATCTTTAGCTCTCATAATCTTAACCTGCCCAATTGACGAAAAGAAAGAAAGACAAAAAAGGGGGAACAAAACTTGTCATTAGTGCTTAGTCTGCCTACACTCTCGCTCTCACACACACATACCTTTGGAATGGCCCCTACCTCCCCTCCAACACTCGCCTTCCAGCCCACTACCCACCCACCAAACCACCAACTCTTAGCTACTTTCATTGTCAGTGCAACAATATCTCTGAACACAGCAGTGGCCAGTAATCCAATAAGACCATTGATTAGGCCACAATGATTCAATTCAAACCAGTGGCCCAGTGCAAGGAGCATTTTCTGGCCCTTCTTGTCACCTTAGCTGGCCAGAAGCCCTCTTGAAGGAGCCCCCCTCCCTGAGTGCCATTCATGCCTTTATGGGAAACAGAGAGGAAAAGGAGTGAAAGATGGCAATTATCTAATTGGACTATTAACAAACAATTCTGTGAGTGTGGCTGCCCGGCAGCAGTCTCGGGGTGGGTTTAAGGGCCGCATGTTGGACTAACTTTATTCACTGAGTGTTTGGGGGGCTTCTGCTTAGAGTGGGACTGGATCCATTGTTTGAGAAAGGTAAAAAGGAGGCTAAAAAGGGAGCGACTAAAAGGGACCTGTGCTTCTCAAGCTGTGGTGCAGAGCCCCAGCCTGGGAAATAAATTGAGGACGTAGCGTCTTGGCCTCTCAAATACACACAATGACTGTGGAAGAGAAAAGACTGATGTGTTCAGTTGCTACGTCCCCCAAAATATCACACACATTTAGCAAAGAATACTGCATGTATACGGTGTGTGCACACATTTTAAATGGCAAATTACCAACACAAAAAAAATCCAAGATGTTTGGGATCAAACTATTTATTGAAATTCAATGAGCACCTTCCTTTTAATGATGATGACCAACACACACATTGCATTGCAGCACAGTGGAACATTTAAATGTTATATTAAACATTACAAATAACTGCTCTTTTTTGCTTCCAGGCTTTACAACAATGGTATACAATATATGTAAATTATTTATGACACTGTACATATTAGGAAATGAGATCGCTATAAATGTCTTGCATGAAACGTTCTTGATTCCAAAATTGTATCCTATAAACAAAACAAAACCTTGTATCACATTAGCATTAAGAAAAAGAATACATTTTGGCTAACATCATAAGCAGACATTACGCAGAGTATTCGTTAGCAAGGTGTGTTGATGAATATAAATCAGGTGAATTCAGTGGATCATGATACAATTTGTTCTTAGTTTTGGATTTTTGGACAAGACAGTGAAGGCCTGATATCTGCAGAAACATAAAGACAAGAGGGATAAATATATAATACAGTATCAAGTCATTTATAAAATATGACTCACTTAATCAAAAGGGCACAATGGCTGTGACCATGCCATGAAATAATTCAAAATGCTGTTGAATATGATTTATGTTTTAAACTAAGAATGTCTGTGGAGACCCCTACTGGTAATAGCATAGCAGAATCTCAAGTCACACATATAGATCTGCTATGATCAAATCACCACGGGCTAACAATTAAACACCAACATTAACAAACATCGCTATTTATGGTTATCATTTTAACAATGACGAGGCTTCAATGACATTCTTTAAAACATGCTGCACATGGTGCTGTGCTGTAATGTGACCTCTCTCTGCCCTGTTGTCTCTATCTCTACACCGGAGATTTGAGTTGTTCAATGAACGGATTTAATGTCCCAGGAAATCAAAGAGAATCCTGAACTGCACAGACTGGCCAAACAGAATAAGGGGGTGGAATTTCACATTATTTTAGGGGAGGAAATGGTTACTTATGTTACAGGAGCAACTGAGATGTCAGCATGTTTATTTCTAATGCCTTCTCTTCAGCTCTAAGTGTGGGATACTCACATAAATAGTCAGTTAACACAGTCTATGAAAACTGGAGAAAACACTGTCTGCCTAATGCGCGAATAATGCCTCCTACGATTTCTTTAAGTGTGCTCCTTGTGGTTGTGTTACTCGGGCCCACAGCTACTTGGCACTTTATGACGAAGCCTTTTAGGTTCTCTTAATACATGGTAGGTTGCTGTGGAGAGTGCAGGCCTTGGAGAGCCTTGATGTCTTAACAACAACATAGTAACCCAAGATGAATGGTTACATTCAGAGCCTTACTATATGTTGACAAATGTGGCGATTATGTTCCGCTCTATGAGAGCAAGCTGTTCTTGAACCCTCTAAATAAAGAGCTTGCTTCAGTCTATGGCAGAGGGTGACACTGGCAGCTGAGCTCAAAAAAGGTTCAACGCTGATGGTTTTCACCGTGACCATGGATTTTTATCCTGCTTCTTTCCCAGTATAGAATCACTGATGTCTCATAAATACTGAGTGCTTGTAGTTAGTGATAGTGGTGGGGAAACAGACTTTCTACCAATGAAGCTTATATGAGAGAATTGAACTCTTATCCTAATCTTAGTATTATATGTTGTGTCTGTTGGTTTCTGGTGAAAAAAAAATCTTGTCATTATTAGTGGGCACTGATGGCTTCCTCCAACACTCAGCAGATAGATGGTTGCAGTGGAGCAGAAGGTGGTCTGCACTACATTTAGTAAACAATGTATGGTAAGGTTTTATTATATTTGTAATTATTTGTTTAAGTCAGCAGCATGATCATATCAGTACACTGTTAGCGCTCAATCCTGTTAGTAAAAAGGTGTTTTAATAGAAAAATAAACTATACGATTCCGTCTGTTATAGTTGATGAATTTTCCCCACAAAACAGGTAACAGCATCAAATATCATTCAGGAATATCCCCCTGAAAAAGAACTGTTTCCTTCTGTTTAAGTGAAGTTTCCTTAACACTGCAGTGACCAGCCATTTTAAGAGATCATAGAGTTGCTGTTCTTTTTTTTTTTTTCTTTTCTTTAGAAAAAAAATCCATTTAATCAACTCAAATCTTTGTTTACCAACTGGAACTAATGATACCAAGCAAACTAAAAAATATCGTTTTCAATCAAGGTGCAGTGCTTCTTCGCTACTATCTAGCTACCTGTCAAATTGCCTGAACTTTTTACTTTGCTCATTCAGCTGTGGAAAGGCTCGGCAGTCTTTACTTTGGGTAGGTGTTTGTTTTAAATGGACCTTCTGTAGGATGGTACTCCAGAGCTTTGATACCATTCTGTGAACTGTTAACGTTTTGAATAAATGTCCAATTTCCTTGACTTTGCTCACTTAATCTGTGTTCATTGCAAACTTTTGTCTTTGTTCAATTTTTATGTTAGCACCTCTGTAAGTAAGAGGTTATGCTAGAAATCATCAAAGCCGAAGAAACTGTTTTACTACATTTGTATTTTATTACAATATGAATAAAATAAAGTGACCAATGCATAGCTCAGAGCTCAGTTGTTATTTATGACAGGACATTTACACACACAAAATAGCTCAGTGCTGTTGTACTAATCCACTGTTGACCATACCATATTTTAAGTGTGACATACCAGACAGTCTAAAACCTACGACAAAGCCCAAAGCAGTAATTGATTTTTCTGTATGTTCTCTGTGAGTAGTTTTAGATAACAGTCTTTTGTCCCTCAGGCAGCGCCTTGCTGTAGTAATTGTCACAGGTGTAATTTGAGCAGTTCCTTTGTGTCTCTGCAACAGTTACGTCCCCATTGGCAGTGGTAATGTGCATCGAGATTCAAGCGTGAGGGGAACAATGGAAAGCATCATGAAAGCTTTGAAAATAAATCATGTGTTTTTCTTCCCCTCTTTCACCACTCAGCCCACCATTTTTCAGAACAAAGATGGATTTTTTTTTTCCCAGGGTAAATCTTTTCGCGAGTGTTTGGAAACACGACAGGTTTGACTGTGAAGCTGTGCTGCTCTGTGTTTAACCTCATCTTAACTGTATTGAATGATAAAGTATTACAGAAGATTATTCCTGCTGGGAGCCGCGGTGATTAAGCAGCATACAGCTGTTGAACAGTAACCTCCAAGAAACTATCGTGCAAGGGAGTAACAAACTATGTACTGGCATCAGGCCCCTCACACTCCATCTGTATGTCTCGTGCAAATGATGTTTCTCTTTTGTCTCCACGATGAGCTCGCAGAATGAAAGTGTACAATGGTGATCACCAAGGTATAGAATAATCTGTGCTAAATCATTTGGATTTTTGTTGTACTTCCATGAGCTATGGAAGGCCCTGAAAAATGAAACATGAAGTAACAATTATATGATAGATGTTTTTTTTTAAAGTGTGGACAACTCTCTTTTAAGAACCAAAACCAAACATGTATTAGTCCATCCCTGATTACTTCAGAATTTATCGACCTTCCTAATCTTTATTTATTCCTACTGAAGATTTCAATCCTTGGAAATTTGGAAACACTTTTTAAATGCTCATTAATTTTCATAGTCTGCTGGTCACTGCAGGTTTGATCAAATGTTACTCATGAAGTGTTTTTCTTTGGGGCTTTTCAGCATAACTCACTGAAGTGTGTTTTCACGATCATTAAGGAAGCCTTGAACCTGACCTTGAACTGGACTTGTTGTCATTTTATTATTCAAAAAGAAAAAAATCTACATAAAATAAAATAAAAAAATTGCAAACAGACAAATGCTACCCTGGACAAGAGAAAACATAGAGACAAATGTTGAGAGGCGCAGGATGTTG